CTCCCATGTTTTCCATCTACTTCAAATCTCACCTTCACATCTGCCATGATTTTAACCCCATTCTTTTTTTCTATATGTTGCATTTCCTCTTCGTACATGTGGTTCACATACCAGAAATGACCCACTGGGACGGAACAAGTGTACATTTCTTCACCTGCAGAAACTGTGCTACTCTGTTTCCCCACCTGAACTTGCTCCTGAATATTAAAAAAAAGGTTAAAAAAAGATCATTATGTTTGTTTGTTGAAGATCTTCTTTTTCATTTTTATGTTTGTAATTAATGACACAGTACATACAGTTTGTAAGAAGTACATTGGGGAAGTATCACTATCTTCTTCAGTTGTAGAACCTGTGTTACTCTCCTTCCCTGGCTGAATGTGCTCCTGTTGAAAAACCATACAATATATTGTTTATATACATACAGTATACATACTGTATAATGCACTTATATACATACACTATACAGTATATCTCGTTAATATTTTGATAAACTTTTAATTTATGACCCAGTACATACATTTTTTGTCTTTGGCATGAAAGAAGCACCCATCTGGTCTCCAGCAGTAGAACCTGTTTCACTCTGCTCCCCCTGTTGAACTTGCTCCTGTTAAAATACAATACATTATTAAATTCAATAGCATGCATTAATATTTGTTTTTTAATGATTTACTACATTTTACATACAGTTTGTGGCTCTGGTAGACTTACTGAAGAATCATCTTCAGGAAGTAGTTGTGTATCAAGCTCTGGCAGTGTCAGACTGATGGATGTTATGGTGACCTTTGTTTTTTTTCCCTTCCCAACTCCCTTCTCAGTTTCCTTTTCAGTTAGTGTTTTTTTATTCAGTTTCTGAAGCTCAGTGATTGCTGATTGTGAAAAAAACAATATAAATATACAGGAAGAAGTCAGTGTGTGTGTATATAACACTAAGTATTTTGGAGAAGTTATAAAGACAGTAGATTAATCAGATGATTATTAATCAGATGATTATGTGGGACTTGACTGCACCTGGAGCTGGTTTAATGTTTATCACAGCACTCCCATCTTTTAGGATCCTTTTCACTGAACAGTCCACATTAGGTATACATTTGTTGAACCAGGTCTGAAGCATTTTCTGTAGACTAGTCTCAGGCTTCTTTGTTTTTTGTGGTTCATCATCAGACTTTGTCCACTTCAGTGAGAGAACAATGAGAGCTCCATCTTCAACCTGTGATAAAAAGAAATGAAATAAACAATTGATAAAGCAGTGTAAATCTGTGTAATCCTATGATATTCAATGAAAATAAAAATATCTAAAAGCCATTTTAATCATTGTTTAAATTTATATCTTTAGAATTCTTTCTTCACTATTACGATGCAGATAAATAGTGTGAGGTTAGCCACATGTCATATTTTCACATTTTCAGCTTGAACAACTTTACAAATGTTCTCACTGGCGATCACAGTCACACTGAACAGCTTTACACAGCATTGATCATGTATCTCTTGAACCTCCACTGTTGATCAGCTGAGATTATCATATTGATCTTGTGTAATCAATACTTTCACTTTCACATAATCTTGTTTGGAGCTGGAGCTTGTTTTGTGTTACTGAGCACTTAATCATACACACACAAACTGATCAAAACACTTACTGCAGCAGGTGTATCGGTAGGTTTTAGATGTTGCTCATTTTTGCCCATAGCAGAAGGCTGCACCTTTAATAATGGTAAAAAGTCTTTTTAAGTATAAAAACAAACTCTTGTGTTGAAAGTAAAACAAAACAAAACAAAAACAAGTATACTGCTCCTAATGAAGATAATAACTATGGCTATTTAGTGACTGAAACCCCCAAAATTTTGCAATCTTACAAAGTTTTTTTCACTGATGAACCTCCAGAGTGGATCAGCTGAGATTATTATGTTGATCTTGTGTGCTTAACTCTCGAAAACGTACGTAACACACAGAAACTCACAAAAACACTTACCGCACCAGGTGTATCAGTAGGTGTTAGGTGTTGCTGGTTGACACTCAAAGAAGAATGCTGCACCTATAATAATGGGAGGACGGCTTTTTAAGTATAAAAAAAAGTGTTGTGTCAACTTAAAAAAGAAGTTTACTGGTGCTAATGAAGGTGGATATTCACTAAAGTTGATTATTTAATGACCGTATTAACACCAAAGCTCCTGTAACAAATTTGCAACCTTACAAAGTTTCTTCACTCATAAACCTGATCAGCTGAGGTTAGCTGAGCTTGTGTGCTCAATACTTTCACTTTGACTTACTTTTTACAAGAATATGGACAAAAGCTGGAACTGGTTATGTTTTATAGAACAGATGAAGCATAAGCACACAAACTCGGCAAAACACTTACTGCAGCAGTTGTATCTGTAGGTGATGAATGTTGCTGGTTGTCACTCAAAGCAGAATGCTGCATCTATAATAATGAAGAAAGACTTTTAAAAATCAAACAAAGTGTGGTGTCAAAAATGACATTTGAAAAAAGAAATACGCCGCTCCTCCTTAATGACTGCATTAACACCACATTTCCTGTAACAATATTATTGTATTCTGATTCGGTGCTAGTTTACGTACGCTCTCGTCGAGAGTGTCCATGAGTTCCACCGAGTCCGTGTCCGAGTCCATGTTTCCGATTTTGATCGTCTTCCTTCAAAACACAACACAAACACACGACATAACAACAGTGTGTTTTTTACTCAAACAACCAGCAATTCTTTATTTGCTGATTATATATATATATATATAAAAAACGTTTCCATAAATTAGCTAACGTTGCTCTCCACCTAGCCTGCAGAGCTACACTCTCGGATACACTCCACTTTCCAGTTTCCTTATGTCTTACATTTTAGCCAAACCTGTACAAACGTGTGTATCTGAACAGAAATATACCTGGAAAATATTACTTTACCTCGTATATGACTTACCCCTGCCTCGCTACTTTAAACACTGGTACTTCCTCATAAACGAAAGCGAAAGCTTGCAGCTCCGCATTAAGGATCTGCGTCACCCTCCAAACACGCACCAAACACGCACTCAGCAAACAAGTGCACCTCTGTCATTTCCAGCAGTGTTGGCAAGAGGTCTGTTCGCTTAGCTGACTGTGGAAACTAAATCCTTCTTCATTGCTAGAAAAGTACAGAAAATGTTCTTTATGTGACATTAATGTTGTCTGCTTTATGTCTCAGATATTTGTGAGTTTGTGAGGCAGTTTGTGTAAGATCGTTTTTGTTAAATATCTTCTGTCTCATACGATTGTGACGAACACTGCATTGATTTTTATTTCATCTTTGACTCCCTTCAGAACTATGATACCTGAGGAAAAAGTATTAATAATAGCCTATAACTCGGTTTTCTATTGCCCATTTGCTGGGAGTAAGGGCGCCCTCCGTTTGCGAGGTGCGCCTGCTGCTTGTGGCACAGGGAGGAGAGGGGCGGGGCGGCGGGGGATTCTCTGGCTGGCTGGAGCAGCATTTAATAACCTGCTCGCAAAATGAAAGAAAATAAAAACAAAACAACAAACACGAAAACAGCAGACATTATGATACAGACTTATAATTTGCACCGATGTTTTTCCTCGGTGCGCCTGCTCGCTGCTGAAGTCAAAGTAAACTTTATTGTCATCTCCGCTACATACAGACCAGTATATAGAGAGACGAGACGACGAAGCTCCAGTTACATCAGTGCAAGTAAACAAACAATAAATATAAGAAGAGTAAGAAAATAAATATACACTTTAGGACTCGGGGTAAAGGGATCAATAACAATTTTAAATTTATATTTTGATGATTTAAAGTCTCACACACAACCCGTGGAAAGGGGAGGG